ATGTAATTGGTCACCGCAGCATGGCAAACAAAGGGATTTTAATTAAATTTTAACCATAAACCGACGCTGACGGGGGAAGTTGCTTTGATGTATGCAGCTTTAAATGCAAATCAAATATTTATTCCGCCCACATACTCTCAGATACGTATTATATATATATATATATATATATATGAAAGCAGGCATTGTTTGAGCACGTCTATGTGTGTGTGCGTGTATGCGCTTTAGCAAACAAAACAAAAATAATTGTAAATTCAATTTCATTATTAAATGTTCTTGTCCGCAGTTTTGTGTGTTTGTCTATTATCTCAGCGCAACCAAATAGCCGCAGTCCCCTAGTTAAGCCTTTGCACACCCATGGTTCTATTGGTGTGAGTTTTGTGTTTGCACGCAGTGTGTGCGGTTTCGATGTATATTTAAACAAATGCGGTTAATGTTCATATTTCATTTTAATCAGACCCACGGATATTGATATTGGCATCGTCTGTCCATATAGTCAGATGGTGTGAGGTCCTTGTGCCTGCAATGCCTGTTAATGCGCATTTACGTGCCGCATTATATGTATATTTTTACGCACACACACATTTACATTTGCTTTAGTTTGTCAAAAACAAACTTTCCCTAGTTTAACCACAAAAACGGGCTCTAGAGCTACGCAACGCCTGGATGCTGGAAAATGATTGTAAAATTTTACAACCGACAGCCAATTACCATAGCTTTTTATTTGATTTTGCACGGTTTAGCTTTTTGGTAACGAGTTGGTTGTTGAGGGGATGTCCGGGTGTATGGGTATGGGGATGTAGATATGCCCAGAGCACTGCGGGCGATCCTGTACGAAAAAAAAAAAACACAGCCGACATTGGTACACGTGCTCTCGATTTTTAAAGGGGCAAAGAATGACGGATATTAAATTGGTTGAACAGCCAAAGGTTGAACTTAATGCGTGGGGCAGGGAAAACCACAAATTCATTGCAAACGATTGGGATGGCCTCGTTGAAAGATAGAAGTGTTCATCTAAAAAATATTGGGGAAAATCGGGGAAATTTCGTAGAGCATATTTTGAATGAAGAAAAGATTATTTAGGTCTATGAAGGGCAGGATGTTAGTTTTTTATTATTTTGAAAATTTTAGACGTTTTTTTTAATATGAAATCAAAGAGAAAACTTTGTTTTGGAGAAAAAACTAATAAATAAGGGTTCCACTCGTAAAATGTTTAAAATATCAAAGAATTCTTCTGTTTTCGCAGTTAAAAAAAATTCAACTTTTTAGCTTAAATTGGTAGAAAATATCTGATTAATTAAATATATTTGGACTTTAAACTATATAACGAATTGATCTCCTTAAAGAAATGCAATTTGAGATTTAAAAGATGATATACAAGTTAAGAGGTTTACTAAATTTTATTACCTTTTCCAAATCCAACCAAAAGTTTGCCCTTTGGGAGCACTTTTTGGCCTATATAAACTGTAATTTCTGTAGCCAACACTTTGGCTAATTCTAGATATTGATATTAAGGCCCCGAACAGCAGTAACTGGAACAGCAACAGCAAACACAATTGCACGCAAATTTTCATTTGATTTCATTTCAATTGAGCACAATTAAATTTTTGTGCACCACAATCAAGTGGCCCTTTGTAGTTGTAGTTCTTTTTTGGTTTCCTGGTCAGAGACGAACAATGTTTTGTTGTTGTTATTGATTTTACCGCCACGCCCTTGCCGTAAGCAGTCGATGTTGTCCAGTAGTCCATCAGTCTATGAGACCATGAGTTCAGAGTTTTCCGGGATTCCGGAGACGCACGTTTGTAGGTATTATTTATTTATGCATCGTTTGTCGGCGGCTTTATTCCTTATTATTAATTTCCTTTTATTTTCATTTCGGTTGGCATTTAAAACATATATACATGTGTACGAGAGTGTATGTATGTATATATATATTATTGGCTGGCTGAAACACAAAATCCATTAATATCCTTTATCCCACGGGCTATTTATGGCCGCAAAATGAAAAGGCAGAAAGCAAATGTGAATGAGATTGCATTAAGTTTTAAATACGTGTATTCATCTATTGGTTTGCTAATAAAATCATGGAAAATGTATTTGAGGTCAGCCGACCGAACAATTTTGATTTTAATTGAAAAGCGAGTTTTTCTCCTTTTCTCTCTCTCTCATTTGTTTTCTGCTCCTCTTTTTTTCGCCTGTGTCAGAGTTTTCAGCTTATTGTTGGCTTGTGTCAACTCCCTTGGAATAGAATTGGTTGGGAAATCATCCCCTTGATTTTGGTGCAGCCAGTGTTGCTTATATCCGGCTTGCGGCACGTTTCCGGTTGCCATTTGGCACTGCTGCTAATTTCACAGTTTGGCATTTTGGGATGCCAAAAGAGGGCGAAAACGTTTGGCCCGCAAACAATTAACTCCCCAAACACCCACATCTAAATCCACCCACCCACCCACTTGATTCAAAAAGCGAAAGCTCTGCAATTCTGTGGTTAAGTATCATTTCTAATATTTTGTGTGACACCCGTGCGACACTTTGGCATTTAACTGGAAGGGGTGTTGTGGTGGGTGCGTTTTTGGGGTTTTTAGCCCGGTCTGGCAGCCACATTGTTTATGGCTCACTCAAGAGTTTCAGCCAAAACGGCCAAACAGCCAAACAGCCGAACAGCCAAACAGCAAAACCCCAGCAACATTTGAACAAAACCTGGTGCCACCGCCAAACATAACAAAAACAAAAATATAAGCAACCAGAAAAAAAAACAAGAAAACAAAAGCAAAAATGAAGGAAGAGGAGTGGGAGGAGCTGGAGGTGGAAAGGAAAACCCAACCACTGGGGCAAAAAGTTTTTAAGTGAAAATAGTCATTCAAATTTAATTAGTCCAAAACAAAGCCAAAACGTAATGAGCTTACGCTTAGGCTAGCAGCAAAATCAAGGGGAAGGTTTGTTGGCTGATGAGGATGTGGATGAGCCGGAGGAGGATGGGCTCCATCTCAATCTGAAATTGTGGTTATTGCACTCAGACCCACTCATTGTCCTTCCAACGGGCTCCCGAAAAAGGGTGCCATCCGCCGACTAAAGGGGTCATGTGCGAGACAATTACGGCAAAGGTGGAGCCGGAGTCAGCAGCGTTTTGCTGTCATATGCCACATGGCCGCAGAAACTCCCACATGGCCACGCCCCCCTCACTAGCTTCCCACACCGTTTTTGCCACTTTACGCCCACGTATCGCCCACACATACACATACAAGCAGAAAACAGCGAAACTGAGAGCAGGTCGACAACGGCAGCAGTTTCAAAATATTTTACGTAATATCATTGTTCGCACTCGTAACTAACTTTTGCCAACGCTCCTCCATGCTGGCACAAAGGATACATCTCCACCTACGGCTTCAGCCAGACCCTCTCTATAGTATTCATACCCATGTCCCCAATCCCCAATCCGGAATCCTGACTCCCAACTCCCGAATACACTCATTCCACAATCTCCGATCCACGCGTCACCCAACCCAGTCCTTGTAATACTTCCCAACTGTTTAGCGTGTGACGAAACTTGCTCATTGCGAGGGGTGTTTTAGGAGTTTGGGGAGATTACTAATTATCAAAAATCAAAACTACAAAAGATAAAGGATATTAATTTTAAAAAACTAATCCACAAAGAGTTCTATTTTTTTGCAAAACACAACCAATTTGTTTTAATTTAATATATTTTTTATTATTACATTTTATATTTAATAACCCGACTGTTTGCACAATGAACTAACATTAAATGATTCTCAAACTCGCATAAATTGAAAAGAGAAAAAACCACAACAAATGTTTTTTTGTTTTATAAATACACGAATTAATGATTATTTATCCTGTTCAAATTTGTAATATGAAAATGCAAGCTTGTAAACCGTAAACTCACATAAATTTTATGTGAAAGAAAATGCAAATAAATTGTAAATTGGTTTAAAAATAGAAGACAGTACTTTGTATTTAAACAGAAAATTAGTAAAATAAAATAAAAATACAAATTAATAAGAGATTAGCATAGAATTATGGGACTTTTATAAGATATTTTGGACTTATTATAAGACCTTTTTTTCAATTCATAAATGGAAAAAAAAGTAACCTAGAAATTTAATATCTACTTTGCAGTAGAAACCGAAAACCATGTTTCTGCATAATGACAGAAAATTGATTGAAATGTTTTTTTTTTTTCTTCCATTTGATTTTCCTTTCTGATGATACCAGCATATCAGGTTTTCAGTTTTTGGTTTATTAGAAACAAAAGAAAATACTGCATTGTGTTTTACCGCATAGAATGGTTTGGCAAATGAATCTATAATTTTGAAATATTTACTGAAAAGCATTTTTTTTCAGCAATTTTTTTTGAGGTTTTTCCATTGTTATATCTGTTCATATCAAGGGATTTTCATTTTCATTTTCTATTTGGACAGCCCCCGCTGTTGCCTTTCTACATGCCTGTGTGCTGCCAAGTCGCATCGCTGGATCGGGTGGCTATATATATATGGGATAAATGGGGAGTATCCTGGTTGGGTTGGAATGAGGATTCGCAGAGCGTTGAGGACATGGTCTGGTCTGGGTCTGCGTTTTTGGCGCTGCCGCATATGATTCGTATCGCTGATACTATTTCTGGTCCAATGGCACAGTTAGTTTGCATCCTACGTGCCTGCTAATGTATGCTGGCTACCTTTCTACGTGTCCTGGTGGTGCTCCAGGACTTTACTACAGAAATATATAGTGGGTGTCAGGATTTCGGGGGTGTCCATGTATCCGGGTATCCTGGAGTGTATGTGTGTGTGTGTGAGTGGGAGCACATCCGTGTTAATATAAACGCATAACAGCATTTTTAGCTGTGAAATAGTTTTGCTGTTGCTGCTACCCGTGGAGTAACCGAAAAACCCACTCAAAAACCCCGGAATCCTGCCATTGTCCTGTACTCTCTGCCTTCCTGTAGGTGTAATTGTGGCCGTTGCCGGTTGCCGGTTGCCATTGTCGACCATGTGGTAGTTGTTGTTGTTTTTCACCAGGGCGGTTGAGTGGGGGGTGGAATGGGGCGGCACCGGTGGTTTTCTCTAAATTAATACATCACATGCACGCAAAAAGGACGACTAGAAACGACTAGGACTAGGAAGGACATGCATACAAGCTTAATTATGGGATTTAGCTGGGTTGTCTTCTTGGTGCGGTTTTAGTTTGGTTTTTGGTTTGTTGGTCTGGCCATCTAACTATCATATTTTGGGTCGCGTATAATTGGGATACATGCAGATCTCTACCCGTAAATATTTTAATTTAGTTGACCGAAAAGAAGAAGGATAGGGAGATGTCACCATAACCAGGAGACTCCATCTCACTCACTGGATGATGGCTTTTGAAAACATTTCACGTGGCAATTTTTAATGGCATTTGTTGGCCTTTGGGTGCGCTGATGCACACTGATGGAAATTGTAATAGACAGAGGGCTCATCTGTGTCCCAGAGATCAGGGAATGGAATGGGTATACCGCCGTTAGACGAAACTATAGATACTGTCATCTACTGTATACGTGCCCCGTAGTTCGTTAACGAATTCTCGGAGCTGTCATTACCATTAACATTTTGGCTTGGGCAAACATTTTAGCGTCGCACTCTCGAACTCATTTGCACTTTTGTTTGCATTGGATTTTGGACACTGTCACCGCCGACGGCCAAAAACCATTGACATGACCACATTTCGGTATTTTCGTGTCGCTTCAGTTATTTGATTAGTTAACAGGTGGACGAAATGGAAGGGTTTTCTGCTGTTTGAACAGGGGGATGGGGCAACACTGCTGTGTTCACTTTCCACGCCTCAACGGCTAACTAAAATGGGTAAAATGGGGAAAGTTTAATGCTGTAATTGATTGACATTATTTGCTTACTTTTACCATTGTCCATATACTCGTTGACAACGATGAAATGTATCAAAATGTCTCAGTTTAGTTCCCTTTTTGTATGTTAATTTATTACAATGTAGCAGTTGACTTGTGTTTTTTAGATTTTGATTTTCTTTACGTTTAAGATAATAAGAAAATGCTACCAAAATCTCTTTTTGGTTATATTAATTTAAAACTAAACAAATCGAATTACAAGCTGAGTTGCACTTGGATAACTTTGACTTCAAATTCAAAATGTTTATTTGCTTGTTTTGTCAAATTTTTGGTAAATATTTTATTTTGTGCGTAAAATGTGCAGAAAGTTTTACGTTTTAAAGAAATTCAACATTTGCAATAAGTACAGAGCTTGCATTTTGTGGGCAATAGTGAATATAGTGTTTGGATTTGTTTTTATTCGTAAGTTAATCTTAAGGAAAATCTTATAAAGTTCTATAAAGAGTTTAATAAGTACTTAAATAGGTATCAAAAACCCTTAACATACTTAAATCAAAAAACAATATTTACTAATTCCAAGACTAATTCTTTATTTTTTTCATATATTTTCTTTTAAAATTCTAAGCTCTTGTGGTGGACTTTGTATATCAGAAAAATTTGCCAATTGCAGTCATGGTTATGGGCTGCATATCTGGAGGAAACTTTATTTTATCTGGTTTTATGCTATTAATTGGAGTTTTAAAGGTTCCCTTGATTTTTTTCTTATGAAATTTCCAACTAAACTAAACTAAACTTAATTTTTCCAAAGGCCTTTCGCTGCCTGGTGTGCTCTTCCATAATTTTCTCAGGCATAGGAACCTTTTTCATTCACTGGCTTATTATACCTTTGGGTAAGTCCAAACCCATCTTTAGTTTATATCAATGTTTATCTAATATTTCCATGACTTTAGTGATTTATTTAATTTTCTCCTTCATTGTTTATAATTATTACCAAGTGGATATGTGCTCTGATGATCGCTATCGGGTGGCCAGGAGATTTTCAACGTAATATTCTAGTAACCTTTTATTATTAGTTAATAACAACGTAAATAAAAATAGTCACACCACGTTTTCACATTTATTTTCAGAGTTCTTAAGTTCAAAAGAAGGGAAATCGCCGTCCGCACATACTGGTATTTATGATAGGAACTGGATAAGTTGGCATTAGCAGAGCTTTGGCCTGAATTGCAATCGCCGTTTGGGCCGCTTACGGAAATATTTATTCCATGAGCGGTTACCTTATCCCATAAGTATCTCACAATCGCCGCCCGTGCAATCTACTCCAAATAACTGCAATAGTTTTATGGCTCATCATGTAGCCATATATTTTTTTTGGCTTTCTGGTTTTTATTTTCGGGAAATCCCCCGGCGAGGGCGAGTTCAATGCTCCACTTCCTTCTTTTTTTTGGGGGTGGGACTGAGCCACAAGAAAAAAGTATAGTTTGTTGTTTTATATGCCGACTGCTCAATTTGCTGTTATACTACTGGCCGTAGCGAAAAACCTACAAACACACCCGGTTCATCACTTACACGCCAGGGTAATTTAAAACAAATGCCCCACCAAATCGCATTTGGCTTTTTGGCTCTACAAGTTTTTTATTGCCCACACTCTCTCTCTTTCACTCTGTGTGTGAGGCATATATGAAGCGGCAAAATTTGTTCATCCACTACAATTTGGCATGCCATTTATATTGGTTCCATGTTAATGCCAGCGCCAAATCCCCCCAATCCGCGACCTGAAAAGCTACTACACCATACCTGGGCTATCAACCTATCATTGCTACCAATCTACCATATATAGTCAGTCCTACGGTTGATCTAGTTGTTGATGCAGCTGTTGTATTTTTTAATAGACACATTAAAAAATAATTTAACAGACAGACAGTGAAAGAGAGTCACCAACAAGCCGCTTCGTTTGCATCGTTTTGCTCGTTGCATTGAATAAATCATAAATCATTCAACTTTTGGCCAGCAAGAGCTGTGAAATAAAAATGCCCCAAAAACATATATATATATATATCGGTGGGTTGCTGGCTGGGTCGTTTCTATTAAACGATACACGATGAGCAGCCAGGCAATTTGTCCAATTTTTCCCACTGACCACTACTTTCCCCACTACCCTGACATTTTCCCGGGCATTTTTTTTTTGGCCGCGTGTGTGTTTACTTTTTACACATCATAATTTTTTATGCTAGTTGACTTCTGGACACTGCCAGTGTGTGTGTGTGTGTCTGCTATTTTTTTGCTGGCTTTTTTTCGCAGAGCGCCGAAAAGTTGTTGCCATGTACAAATTAATAAACGAGTAACTGACAAAAAGGTAATTTATTATTTTATACATATTTGACAAATTAATTTAATGACACTGCGCCGCCGTCTCACACTCGCACATTAACGCACATGTCCCACCGGGCAGGATGGCCTGGCTGGCTGGATTCCAGCAACTCCTGCTTGGCCCTCCTTCTTGACTCCTTCTGCTTCCCTCTGCCACACATAATAATTTCTCATTTAATTTTTCAATTTTAAGCGTCATTTACACATGCCATGCCATGGCAGTGAAGCTCTGTTCAGGATTCCTCCACGAATCCCGCGTTTCCCCCTCGGGTCGCACTGTTTCGCTTGTTTTTTATTTTTTTTTTTTTTTTTGTCAGCTTGTCGGACGGTTGGCTTTGTTTTTGCTCCTGCCACATCGCTTTTGATTATACCCTGCTCATAAAGTGGGCGTTTACAACTCAAGCAGGCGGCTTGCACTTGTCAATCAAATCAAACAGTACGAATCAAAACAATTATTGAATCATTCATGCTCAAAATACAGGCGATTTGATTGCTCATGTTCTCTTGGCCATGGCTTGCTAGCAGTGCGAGAGGCTAATAGACCTTACTAATTACAGAAAGTTTAACAATATTAAAGGTTGTGTTTAACATGTTAACCAGACAGCGTGACAACTCTATTTGTTTAGTTTTTTTATCATTTTTGATCCATACTTAATTTAATAAGCTAAAAGTTTTTGTTTTTTAAGCAATTTTCTATGTTACATAAAGAACAGTAAGAAGTAGAAGCAAAACCCTTATAAGAAATCATAAAATTTATTCAAAGAAGTGTCTTCGCTAGTCTCTTCCACTTCCCTAACCACTTTTAAATAAAATGTTTAACCAATTAGGTCTTACCCTAAAATACCATCACATCCCTATTACGCCTTTTAAAACAAACACCAAAATTCTTAAACATTAACTAATACCCTTAGGTGTTATTAAGGGCATTCCTGAATCGACTCCTTTGCCTTCCGATCGCTTTATGTTGTTCTTTCATTTTTTATATTTGCATTAAAAGGTAATCATCGGGAGCAGCGTTGCAGCGTTGATGGCAAGCCTTGCAATTTTCGCACCGTTGTCGTATTTTGTATGACTGTCATTAAGTCGTCAGCGGGTTCAGTAACGAGAAGGACAATGTCGAAGGGGAGGGTGGTGGGCTGTTGAATGGGAAGGGGGAGAGAGGGAACCCGGGGACTTTGGACAGCAGACTGTAGACCGTAGACCGTGGATTGTGGAGTGGCAGGACGCAATCAGTTGCTCACTCAGTTGGCGACGCATCAGTTTAAATGACTCGTCATGCCCGCTGGCAATGAAGTGGAGAAGCAGGGTATGGAGATGAGGAGATGTCCAGGGTGTCCGGGGTGTTCGGGTGTCGAGGTGGCAGTGATGCCCCAAGGACGCAAAAAGATACTGCTCGCGTTGCACTCGAATTGGTCTGGAGAGCTCGCACGTTAATGACACTAGAATCAGTTTTCATTAACGATATAACGTGCGACTGGCCACTCCGGAATGGGTGGAGTTGAAAAAGGATGAGTAGAGGACATGGAGAAGGAGGATGAGGATGAGAAGGAAAAACCCGCAGGGGAAGAGGGTGGAACCCAGAGGGAACCGCATGCGTGCATTGCTCGCATATTTCTCTTGGCCGCGGCTGCTGCGGCGACTGTGGCATTGGCGCTGGCAATTAATAAAACACACACCTTCTGTGCGGCAGCCGAAACTCTCAACTTCCAGTTTCACTTCGAATTGCTCTCCATTCCCCCATCCTCAGCGCACACTTTTTGCACAGTGGTCTAAAGCGCTTATTTATGCAACGGCTGGCCTCGACATCACATCGACATCGACATTGCCATCGGCATCTGAATCTCGCCATGCATCTGCAACTGCAACTGCAGCGGTAAACTGCAACTCTCTCTCTCTCTCTCTCTCTCTCCCTCTTGCTCTTGAACTGGAAATTGAATTTAAAAAGCTCAAACGCTGCAAAATATTTCACACGCACACACTGGCTGAGATTTTTCGTATAAATCACATTTGCCAGAGAGCGCGCGAGCAAAAAAAAAAAAAAGAAATATAAATAAAATATGTGTGTGAGTGTGTGTGTGTGTGTGTATGTCGCCAGCATAAATCTTTCAGTTTGGATTTTCACTTTGGCGGCATAAATTGACACTGGCTGACGACATCGCAGCCACATTTGAAAACCGCGCTTAAAAGCATGCTCGCATGCTCGATCATCGCTTGCCCCCTTTCGAAAAACTCTTGCATTGCAAATTGCGTTTTTTTTTCCAACAGTTTTCCTTTTTTTTTTTTCGTTTTTTGTCAGCTTAAATAAAGCAACGCGCGCTGACAGTAAAAACTCATTTACGCGAAATTAAATTAAAAGTTAATTAACGCTGTCAATGTGCAAAGCACTCCAGACAGACTTCTTTTTTGCTCTGCCCCTCCATCTCCTACTGTGTTGTGGCATGGCAGGAGGGAGGTGAAACTACCTGCAACCTGCAACTGCAACTCTGCGGGCCAAGTTGAAAAATCACCGCAAGTAAAGTTAAGCATATGTCCGCTTAAATTGATGCGAACTGGTTTTAAACGCCAGCCTGACAATTCGTGAGCGCTGCTTTTTTTTTCCGGCGCTGCAGTTTGTAGCCTGGCAAGTTGGTTGGCCGGACTCTGGAATTGGTTTGTCGGCTGCCTGGGAGGGATTTTGTGGAGGATGCGGGGCTTTAGTGGCAGTTCGCTTGATTGCTTGGCTTGCCGGCAGTTATGCGCTGCGCACACACTGCGTATGCTTAATGTGACATGACCGTCTGTCTGTCTCTTCGACTGCCTGTCCAGCTTGGAAAATCAACAAGCCGATCCCAGCCTGTTGATAATTAATTTTTAAGTAAAACTGAAATTTACACCGGCCAATCAGCGATAAAACCGACAAAGAAAAGGCGCTAGTTAATTGGATATGATGATGATGGTAATAATGATAATGATAATGATAATGATGATTTCTCATACAGAATTCATGGTATGAACATTTCCATTCGGCTAGCATTTTCCAGCTAAGCGAACATGTACCATAGCGGTCTAATTGGCGGTACTTGAGCAAACTGACCACGAAATGCATTGGCCAGGCTGATTAATTGGCCAAGACATCAATTGTGACCGCTCTCTGCCGTGGGCCCCTTGTGCTCATCAAACGGCTAAGGTGATGGTCAAACATTGGTACAAAGCCATGAATTGATTTTAGCCACATGAATGGAAATGCAATCTGTTGGTTATAAACCAAATTTACCAGAAATGGTTGATAGTGATGATACGAGGGCAGAAGTTTAGGCTTAAAATTGATAGTTTAAATGTAATCTTAATTTTAGGCTTTCAAATCTGTATAATTTATACAAATTTAAGCTATAATAATAATAAATAAAGTAAATTTCATTTATAAGGTTGAACATGGTCCTACTATGATTCCTAAGTAAGTAAACTTAAAGTTTTTTTCTAACTCCCTTTATTTTTCTTACCAAATGCCATTAAATTGACAGCATTTTCTCAAAAGTCTCTGAATGTTGCTGGCCATTAGGCAGCGCCAACTTGATCTTTTTCCATTCCAACAGGACACGAAGGACCCAGGAAATTTCTCCCATTTCATGGCAATTGAAGTGCTTCATCTGGCCTGTAACTTCATGACAGTTCGCATTGGGGTCGAGTCGGCGTCGGGCAATATAAATAAATATGCTTGTTGTCTGGCAATTCGAACTGCACTCCCACGGCCAATTTCGTTGTGAAAAATTAAAGATAACATAAATGCGGCTCGCCGGGGCACGCCATTCCATGCCATTCCATGCGATGGTATTCCATTCCGGACGAAGCTAGGCCCGAAAAGCGGAAAAGCGGCGGAATGCCGTGCCAGGACATCAATGTCGGGGCACTGGCGTGCTATTTGAATTGAACAAGTGTCAGCGTCGAGGGGAAACAGCGTCGAAGTTGACGCTCTATGGTGCTCTTATGACCCCCAATATCCCCTCCACTCCTTTTTACTTCCATCACATCCAAAAATATATATATGTATTCTCAGACGTTGTTGTACAGCATTTGCATGTCCTGCCAGTTCTGGCGCTCTCAAAACTCAAAATATTAACACTTTAACGCCAAGTTTTTTATCCGGCTGCCGGAAACAGACAACACAACGCATACATATACATGGTTGAAACACAAATACTAGTGAAGCTTTTGGCGTCGGCGGCAAAACGCCATGTTGGATTATTCAACTCGACGCCATTTCGCGTCACAATGCGCGCTATGCGCCGCCATCATTGCAACCGACAGCGAACGGCACACGGTAGTTACAACAACAACTGCAATAGCAACAAAAGCAGGAATAGGAGCAACAACTGCAGCAGGAACAGCAACAACAGCAAAAACAGGAGTAAGGACCATGGCGGCCCACACGGCGGATGAAGTTGCAATTCAAAGTCATAAACACGTGGAGCGTGGGCGCAAAGTCTCAGCTAAGCCGGCCCGGGAAAGTGGTGGGAGATGTGGTGGAAAAGCGAGGGAAACCGAAAAGGGAAAAGCGGGACGCAAAAGCCGAGGAAAAGCGGGAAAATCCTAGGAACCAGCGCAGGAATAAAGGGGCAACGGCAACAACAGCGGTAGCTCCACTTCCTGCCACGAGATTCCTAGCCCAGTTGCCACTTCTTTTTTTTTTTTTATTTCCAGACCATTTTGTTGTCTATGCAACACGACACAGGCGACAGAGGGTATCAAAGGCATATTAAATCCACTCCATTTGTCCGCAAAACTGCAATCGAGTATGGTGCCGTTCACTTTGATAGCCGCAACGTTAAAGGAAAAACTACAAATGGATCAAGTATTTGATGGGTTTTCATTGGAAAAAAGTCTTATTTTTCCAGAACCACAACAACAAAAAAGTATTTCATGCAAATATAGTTCTGCATTTTCTAGTTTTTTTATATTATTTTTGTCTAAAGTTTTTATAAAAGTTTTTGAAGTTATAAAGGTGTATAAAATGCAATGAGTTAATTTCAGCAATTTTTGTATATCCCTTTTATAAATGTGGTTAGATACCATAAGTATCTTTAATACAAGTTGAAAATCCAATAATCTACAATCTATAATACCTGAAAAATCAACTTATTTTCTAGTCCTGCTGATTGTGATTTTACTTTTTACCTGTCAAAATATCAACATTTTTTGATAAGCTGCAGTTTTTGTCCTGATTGACAGTTTGCGATTCTAAAAAAGAGATTCCGTTGTTATCACTAAGATAAGCATATTGATAGGGTTAACTGGCAAACCATTAGAATTAGATAGTGTTGAGTCCTTAACATCGAATGGTAAACCATTGTTCGAGCCTTTCGTTTGGCTATTTCAACGAATCGCGACTGTTATTTTTCGGTTGGCACTGTTCGTTTTTCATTTGCATGCGAAATTCAAACATCAGCATAAAAATGCAATTTTTATTGCGCAACATTTCTCAATGCCCGCTGCAAATATTTTCGCGGGCTTTATTATTATTTTTTCCAGCGCCTTTTGTATTGTTTTGTTTGGTATGGTTTGGTTTTGTTTTTGGTTTTATTGCGTTTCTTGTTTTATTTTTTTTTTTTTTTTATGGCCTTCCTGCTCGACGGTCTTGCCATTGTTGTTTGTTTTGGTTCGGCTTGTTGCTGCTGCTGCTGCCGTTGCTGCTCATATTTATTTGTGCTTTTTATTTGGAGCCCGAGGTGGGTGTAGGATGGGGGATTCTGCCAAGAGCATCCCACCCACCCGCGGCTTTATTATGAGCTGCACTTTATGAAAATGCAGTTGCCACACCGCCTGTCGCTGTCGTTGGCGTTTGCCATTGCTGCCACTGCCACTGCCGCGCAGCTTCGAGTACATTGCAAATATTTTATTATTGCACAATTTCGCCAACTTATCCCGCCGGCATATGAATGTAGAAAAGGTAGGTTGGTAGGTGGTATGGTAGAGGAGTATGGCATGGTGTATAGTATAAAATCTCCTGTTGGCCGCAAGGCTGCAGGAAGGATGCAAGCCAGCTAAAATAATATTTCGTTGCTGTTTCGTTCGTTCTGTTTGTTTGTTTTTGTTTGTCGGTTCGTTTAGTTGAAATTACGTTCTGTATGCCACTGAATTTCATAGCAGTAGAAGCAACAACAACTTGAGCCGAAAAACTTGCTTTCGGTTGTTATTATTCTTGCGTTTACTCCCGGCAAATTTGCCGTGTGCCGCCTTTCTCTCCCACGAACTTTACGTTCTACGTTCTCTTGTTGCTGCTGTTGTTGTTATGGACACCGCCTTTCCCTTTTCCCTCACTTAACTGGCACTGTATTCCGTTACACCACCCATTGAACCCACCCATCCGACCAAAGCTCGCCGTGTTTTTGGTTTTGCTTTTTTCGTGCTGTTTTTCCAACATTTTAACTTCCGCTCAATTTACCTTTAGGCCAAGTAATTTAAAAGCTGACGTGTTTGTACAACTACAATTTCGACTCATGTTGCCGTTGTTGTTTTTGTTGTTGTTGTTGTTGTATTTGTTGCTGTTGGCATTGCCTGTGTATAGCACTTCCTGGTGTGGATTTTTGCCAGGTTCAGCCGGCTCTTGTTCTGGTTCTTGGTTCTTGGATTTTGGCTCTGGGTTCGGTTCCTTCTCTTTTTTTTTCTTGTTATTGTAGCCTCTTGGATTTCAATCTTCTAGTTGTTTTCTTTACGTTTTTGGTCAAAATATTAAAAAAAAAGAAGCAGCAAAATAGAAATAATATTTGGCTAGCGATGAAATTTGCTACCGCTTTGGCATATATTTTGTTTATTTGCCCTCCGTTTGACTTGCGCTCGAGTCAAGTTTTCTTCTTCTTCTTCTTTTTTTGTGTGTTTTTTGATGTGCCCCGATGGACTAAAAGTCAAAACATCCGCAAAAGCTGTTAAAACTGTTTGCCTCGGCTAATAGTAATCGCTGGTGAAAGTCAGCTCTGGAGGTAAATATTAATTAAAGTCGATAGTAAATGGCCGAAAAGCGTTTCGCCCACTTTGCTGTTTTTCTTTCCCGGCCCATTTGTCCTGTTTTGGCACCCCTCATCCGACCCGTTTAACATGTGAGCACGCAATTTCCTTGATTGGCAACGCAGCCCGCAGGAGTAGGAGATGGGAGAAGCAATCTGAGTAGCAGTCGGAGACGGAGTTGAAGCAGAGGCCAAAAGCTGAAGTTGAATGATTGAAAGCGCGCTGCTAAGCTGTCGGCGGCGTTCTGCCAAGGATCTGCATAACGTATCAAAAAGCGTAGCATACTTTTTGGAGTGTTCCCTAGTGCATTAAAGCCGACGAGTGCACTGAAAACATATGTTTGTATTTAAATAAGTTATTTTAAGTGAAGTTTAATATTAAATATGTTTATTAGTTAAGCAAAATTTTACTACTCCTAAAAGCAACGTATACTTAATGTCAGATTTTGCTTTACAATGTCAAAAATGAAATAATTTCTTTTATTAAAACCTCAAATTTGTTGATTTTTTTCAAGCTAAAGTTTATGTGATCCTCAAATTGGAACAGGCATCCCCTGATAATAAAACAACTGTCCCCTAGCTCAATCCTTGTCGTTACAAAAGAATATTAAAAACTATATAAGCTACTTGAAGAAGTGCACGTCAAACAGGAAGCATTCTTCAAATATTAAAAAAGATCCTTGTTTTTAGGGTCGTGTTTTTCCTCCAGTGTGTGTGTCGTTTCTGTGACTGTGTGTGAGGAGCGGGGCTGAGCATGAGCAGTTAACGCCATTGTTTGTGTTAAGCTCGGGCGAATCTGGCAGCCAGGTCAGCCTTCTCCTCTCTTCCTCTTCCAGCTTTCCACCTCTGCTTCTCCCCTCTCATAACCCACCCAGCTCGGACGGCTTTCCGCCAGTTTCCCCCCAATCCGGCTGGCAGGCAAGCCAACGAGTCTGTTAGCCAAGCCGCAGGCTGGAGCTGAAGCCGAAAACTGGAAATGGAGCTGAAGCTGGAGCCGGTGGACCACAGGCAGCGCAGTTTGCTCCTGCAGCTCTTGCTGGTGCTGCATTTAGTGAAGTATTGTTTCTGCTAGATTAATCCTGTTTTAATTAAATATACACGCTGCCAGCATAAAACCAACAAGAGCTCCAGCGACGTCGGGCGAGCGAAAAAAATAAGAACAAAAAAATTAAATGGGAATGAAGAACTCTGGCGGCGTCGGCAAAAACTGTAGATCCACAACCAGTGGCACATCCTGCAGACCGCCTCCTTCGACTCCTGACGTCATGCAAATGTGCATATGTGTGTGTGTGTGGATGTGGATGTGGTGTATGTTGGATGCAGGCTTCAGGATTCAGGATGCAGGATGCTGTTGATGCTGCCGCTCCACTCGGAATGACAAAGTGACTTGACTGACTGGGCGAACTGTTTGAGAACAGGACGAACGGGACGAGAGTGCTGCCTGCATTCGACCTCGCTTTATTTATTTATATTTTCATCTCCCACCTCCTTCTTACCCTCTTCTTCTCCCTTTTCCCATTCCCCCATTTCCAATGTTTTTCTTCTGCTGCTTTTAAGAAAAATACTTTTTCTCACGCAGCTCTCGCAGTTCGCTTGTAATTTCTGAAGTAAATTAAAAATGCTGCGGTATTTTTTTGGAGTGCTCTATGTAGTGCAGTACAGAGCAGCTCGGCTTGGTTCATCTCGGGTCGGCTTTGTCATGCATGTTCTGCATTCAGCCAAATCCTAAGATCCACCTCGAGAGCCCCGCAAGTTTTTAAGTTAATGAGCTGAAAGTTCCTTTTGCACCAAGCGGCGTCTTCAGGAGTGCCAGGATGCCAAAATGCCGGAATGTCAGAATGCCAGAATGCTAGAATGCCAGAATGCTAGAGTGCCGGAATGGTGGAGTTTTGTACTGGCAACATGAGGAAATAAGGCTGCTTTTTTTTTGGAGGGGAATTATATTTTTTGCTCTACATCTGGTGATGCTGATGAGAGCGGGCCTGAAAGCATTGGGTGCAATTAAGAGGTTTCAAGCTGAAAAAACTATTTAAGTTTAGCATTCCTATCTTAATTATGGTAAATGAAAGAGGAGAAATAAGGGGTGAGTTTTATATGGAATAATATTACATTTTTTTTATAAAAATTTGATACGTATTGTTAGGATATATGATATCTTTGATTTAATGTTTAATCTTTAACATTCATATTTCTGATATTTTGTTTTTTATTACTAGTTAAGTTCATAATGAAATATTTTTTTCTTTGATTTCTTGTCATTATAAAAAATCAAATATTTCCTTCCATGTATCTAGTGAATACTTAAAGTTGGCCTGTCAGCGAAGTAGTGGCGGCTCGAAATATTCCATCATGCAAAACCGGCAGCCACTTCAACTGTGCCAACATCTACATCTCCTTCGACGTCGAGTTGTTAGAGGGGTCCGGGCTTGGAGGACGCAGGATAGGGTTAAGGGGGATAAGGGGTTAGGGTAGGAGGATATATCACAACTTATTTGCCGGGATAACCGGCAGCTAATCAGCGCACCACTCGAGCCGCAACTTCAGCTGAAACTTCTGTGGCAACCTCGAGACATTATTGGGTTTGTCGTGCTGCCAAAGTGCAGTAGGGTGCTTCATAAGCGGCTGCCGTCAAACAATCTTAACGTTTGTTGTTTGTTTTTCCCCAGAGAAGCAGAAGCAGCAGCAGTTGTTAATGTTGTTGTTGTTGTTGCTGTTGTTGTACCCGCTGCGCGGGCATGCAATTTCACTCCATTAAATACGACGCGTACTTAAATGTATAAGTAAACTTCATTGCCGTAGAGTGTAGCACTGCATAAGTGTGTGTAAACATATCCACGCACTCTCAGCAGGGGCAGCGGGTTGGTATATATGGATAAGGGGGCGTGGCCGCGTACAAGTGTCCATTAAATTTTGTCATTAATTTTCGTTTGTCCCTGCTGCGTCGCTGCGAACTCGTGGCTTCTGCTGTTTTACTTTTTCATCATTTCATTTATTTACCCAGCCATATATAAATTAAGCAATAAATGAAAGGATGCGCCTTTTAAGCTATCCAGTAAGGAATGCAACCAAAAAAACACCATAAAAAA